GGCGGGGGGAGTGGCTGGCGGGGGGGCGGGGCAGCGGGTAGAAAGTCTGGGCCTGGGCTGAATTGTGGCCCCTAACTAAAAATAATATTTAAATGTCTTTTTTTAGTTTTTAGAGTTTTTATATTAACTTATATTCTTACTTATATTAGCTTATATTCTTTACATTTTTTAGATTTCCTTGCATTTTTTTGCCAAAATTTAATACACCGTCCCATTAGCTAGCCTTTATTTTTCATTCCGTTATTTGTGTCATTTGACCAATTTTTCTTTATATTCTGCCTATTTTACCTATTTTTTTTTTAAATTGATCAATTATTTCTTCTCCTTTTTGTTAAGTATTATAGGATTTCCTTGCTAACCTTTAGCCGCAGTTCCGACTTCTTCTCACTGAGCTCAACGTCAGGTGCGATTAGCCTCGATTGTTAGCTCATCTTTTTTTTCTTCCGTTTTATAGAAATCTCTGGTTATTTTAAATACATGACATTTTTGTCATGTATTCGTCATTTACTGAGCTAAACACTGAGTACTATTTTGTGTAGTATTTATTTTAGTTCATCTTTGGCCTCATTTTAAACTTCTTCTTAATTAAGGAGTCAGGAAAACTCCATCATTAAATTCCTGTTTCCGGGAAAAAGAGCCTTTTTACGTGCCGTAGTTTGAGCACCTCCCTGGTTCCGAGTGATTTAAATGTGATGTTTTTAGCCTGTGTTTATCGAACGGGCAGCTGTTTTTAGACCAGGGTCCTTTATTTAACTCCTCCTCCACACACGGGCTGCACCTGTCGCTCTGCTCCTTATCTCTATTCAACAAAACAAACCCACGTTTCCTCCCTGAAAAGACGTCCACGACCGTCCATTGTGCAGCCTTTTCCATTGTGTAGACTGTGGAGCCCGCGCAGCGTCTAAACGCGTGGCAGCAGCATTTGATGTTTTAACACTGTTGACCATGAACCCAATACAGAAAGCCCCCCCCCCCCTATGGATAAAGAGGCCGGTGGTCACTTCATAACCACCATAGTAAAGTTATTCACCACCTAAAACTCGGAGGATAAAGGGAAAAAAAATGAAGTTAGGAGGACAGTTCTGCAAAGAGAGCTGTCCGTGGTGCTGAATAACCCTTGAGCATTTGGGGTGCTGCTGTCCAATAAGACTGCATTTAAAATGAAATGTTTATAGAATAGATTAAATATTTTTAACAGGTCCAATTCATTTCCAATTTAAAATTTTCGTGAGAAAAATCGAATCTAATTAATTTGAAAATGTATTTCCTTTGTATGAAAAATGGGAATACGTGAACAGGCAGCACCATCATTACAGTCCTATCCCTGATAGGGGGCGCTGCAAGTTTGGGAGCCACTGATTTAAGCTTAATTCCGGAAGATATTTGAACACAATTTGTGGACACAAACGTAGAGATTTTCTCTCTCTCTCTCTCTCTCTCTATATATATATATATACATAAAATATTGTAAGAAAACAACTTTTTGTTGTGAAAAGTGAATGTCTCCATTTTCAAAGTCAACATGAGCGCAGACAGTAGGATCGTGTTCCACGGCTGAAGTGTTTTTGACGAGACGCTGCTTCATTTCCCCTTATAATATCACGAGCGGGCGTCTAACCAATTCCTTTTCTTGGTCTGTGTTTTTATGGTCATTAGTTCTGACCCCTGTTACATTTCACTGGCGCTGACCCACGTACACTGACCCAGTGATAATAGCCGGCAGAGTGAGCCCAGCAGTGATAATGGTTCCAAATGGTCAACCATCTGGAAACATCAGGAGGATACAGAGCCTTGAACCAGAGCATTATGGGGAAAGTTTGTGGTTTTAGTCAACAACAACAACAACAACAACAAAAAAAAAATGGACAGTTACTATTGATACCATTGTTTTTGTCAAGCCTTATGTTTCTGCTCCTTAACCCTCCATACTCCATTCGAATACATGATCCTGGCCACCATCATTGCCAACTGCATCGTCCTCTCACTGGAGCAACATCTACCTGCCAGCGACAAGACGCCGATGTCAGAACGTCTGGTACGTTTCTCTTTACTTCCTGTTTAAAGCTGTGCTCAGTGACTTTATCCTTTGATTTACAGTTGATGTTAGGGCAGTATTTCTCAAGTAGTGGGAGGGGGAGGGGTATTAAGGGGCCGGGGGGCGTGAGGGGCTGGGGTGTACCAAGTGTACCACTGCTGTGATGCTTGAATGATAATGATAACAAACCTCCAGTCACTAGGTGGCAGCAACTCGTACAGTGGTTTGTACTGATGAAAATATACATGTTATCAGGTTCGCAATAGTATTTCAATTCAAAGGGGTGTAGTTTAGGGGGAGGGGGTTGCGTGAAAACATTTCTGTCCCCAAGGCGGGGCATGACAGAAAATAATTAAGAACGCATGATTTAGGGGTTAAATAGCAGAGTTGCTGTAAGACGCCAGGATAAAGTCTATGCCTTTAGACTTTAGACTTTAGACTTTAGACTTTAGGCTTAGACTTTAGACTTTAGTCTATGCCAGTTCATCATCAGAGTCTGGTCACAGCTTCTTCTGTAGCAGTGGAGTGTATTAAACCCTGTTGAAGCTCAGCTTCAGTGGGACTCAGTGGGACAGCGCTGTGTTTGTTGTTTTCATTGTGAAAGCTGGATGTTGATTAGTGATGTGCGAAGGATCGAGCCTGAAATATCGATACTTCCGATTCTGGATCTTTCTGCTCTGAAATCGATTCTGAAATCAAAATATCGATACTTTTGATACTTACGCATTCTGAGATGAGGTGTATCCTAAACAGAAACATGGTGCAAAGTATCCAAATGATTGAGATGTTGTCTAAGTGACGCTCGGTTGGTGGGACTACTTCTTCTTCCGCCTGGGTGTGTGCATCATGCGTAAGCACAGGGGCTCTACTCCGTGCTCTCACTCAGTCACTATTGATGGGAATTTCGGCTCTTTTTTGGTTCGGTTCACTGAAAAAATCCGACTCTTTCGGGTCCCAAATGGCTCCTCAGATTATTTTTTTTTTTTTTTATTTTTGTTTTACAAATAACATGTTTTCAGAGTTTGAAACATTGTTTTGACATATTTTATATGATTGTGTTCTCAGGTTTTTTCTATTGTTGTGTTGACTGTATAGTAAATGAGGCAGCTACCTCAGTACACTCCAGAGTTTAAAATAAATAAATAAATAAATAAATAACTCTGCCTTGGATTCTTAAAGAAGCTAAGATTTGAAATACACTTTTTTTTTTAATTTAAAAGACAAATGATAAAATATTGGTATCGATATTGGTATCGGCGATACCAGCCTAAATTTTACTCGGTATCGGATCGGAAAGGAAATTGGTGGTATCGAACATCACTAATGTTGATACATAATGAAGTAAAAAAAAACGTTCCTTTCATTCAAGGCGGGTAATGAAGCAGTGGGTGGGAATGAAGCTGGGCTTCTTTGCGCTGATTGGATGAACTGTTTGGGACTGTCCTACGTCAGTCCTTAGTTTGGGAGAGAGGTCTGAGAGTCTGTAGACCAGCTGCACCAAAAAATGAAATTCTTGAAATGAATTACTTGTCATTGTGACACAGCTCCGCCGCCGCGCACAATGAAAAGTGAATTTTCCACAGGCAATGCATTGCAGTGGCAGCTTGGTCACCGGGGGACTCGAACCTGTAACCTTCCATACCCAAGGGCCGTTCATCCACCACGGTCTGTTCTGTTTGTGCTTTGGTGCAATGGTTGAAACCGATGTAAAACAGAGCCCATTGTGTGGAAACAATGTGTTTGGTCCAGTTTATCACCTCTAGAGGGAGCTTTTCACTAGGAAAATCAAAGTTAAATAGAAAAATAGTCTGATCCATTTTCAATAATCCAAAATCCAAAAATGAATTATTTGAGCTCAAATGAACATTTGGACTACTAGCTACTGCTGCCCCTTGTGGTTGTGGGCTACTCTACCTGTAAACAGGTCCATCCATCCATCCATTTTCTTCCGCTTATCCCTTACTGGGTCGCGGGGGCAGCAGTTTCCATGACTGCCACCCAAATCACACTGCACTGAACCAACCCCCCTGAACCTTCCTGCGGGTGGTGAGTCCTAACTGGGATTGGATCTTGCCCAGGAGGTGAACGCTGGGGTTCCAGACCAATGACAGAGACGATGCCTCTGGGCCAAAGCGCCGCCTATAAACACGTGTGTCATTTAAATATGCTAATAGAGGTAACAGTGTGTCAGAAACTTTAGTTTCCTGTCATTAAAGATGGGTGGGTTCGAAATGTGAAACTCATGACCCCTTATTGCACCAGGAAGTACATGTGAAGTAAAACAATGTCACAACAACACCACACCGATTACTAATGTGGTGACCACTAGTGGAGAACTCCCCCCCCAACACACAAATATATTAATATTAATATTAATATTAATATTAATATTAATATTAATATTGATATTAATATATTATTATATTTATATATATATATATAAATATAATAATATATTAATATCAATATTAATACTAACACTAATATTAATATTAATATATTAATACTAACATTAATACTAATACTAATATTACTATTAATATTAATATTAATAGTAATATTAGTATTAGTATTAATGTTAGTATTAATATATTAATATTAATATTAGTGTTAGTATTAATATTGATATTAATATATTATTATATTTATATATATATATATAAATATAATAATATATTAATATCAATATTAATATTAATATATTAATACTAACATTAATACTAATACTAATATTACTATTAATATTAATATTAATATTAATAGTAATATTAGTATTAGTATTAATGTTAGTATTAATATATTAATATTAATATTAATATTAGTGTTAGTATTAATATTGATATTAATATTATTGCAAATGAAAGATATTGAACCAGAGCCTCAAATGATACAGAGGCGTTTGCTAAAATGTCGCTAAAACATGCTTGCAGGTGTGTTTGGGGCCAGGCGTGCGGATCGCTAAGGGGAGTCAGTCTTAAAATAACGAGAGAGTCAAAAAAGGTGTTTCAAAGAGCAGCCAGCTCGATGTGAAAAAGTCAATTAGTGCCTCTCGCGTCTCACCACCTGCTCCTGGGTCTAAATCCTCTCAGCGGTGGAGGAGGGGAAAACTCCTCCGAACTGGAGACGGGCGGTTGCCACGACAAAAAAAAGAAATAGCGGGCAGACAAGGAAGTGAGCGGAGTGATTACAGCGCGGAGAAAACAAACATCCTCTCTCTGTGTCCGTGTGGAACAACAAGGAGCCTTTTAATTAGAACCGCAGCAGCTTTTATTTATCAGCCTGAGTCAACAGGAGGAGCAGGAGGTGGACTGTTGACGGAGGACATAATAGAACCTCTTCACAGCCTTCCCAGATCCAGTACTGGTTCCTTATCACCACAGGGTTTTCCCGTGTGAAGAATGAATGAAAGTAAAGTAAAAAAACACGTCTACGTTTTCTACCAAAAGTCCAAAAATGTAGACATTTCTCTTCATCATAGATGTTTCTTAATTTTCCCTGAGAAAAACAAAACGCATAAAAATAAATGGAGCTGAGAATTAGACCTGAAATAACTAATGTAATTCAAGACTGCCTGAATGAACATGGCCAACAGGAAGAGGCTAAAAGTTAGGACAGATTTTCTACATTGACACGAACCGACCACAAGAGGCAGCAGTGGATCAGCGACACGGCTGTGTCCATGTGAACTCAAATGTCCCATTTTTCTCTTTGTCAATGTGTTTTTTTCCTTACGAGCGTCAAACCCAGAGAGTTGTGATGCTGTGATTTCACTGGTGTCCTGTGTCTCTGGACGAGTCTGTCCAACAGCAGCCTTCCTGCTAACAATCGGTTCCAAAAACAGACATCTCAACAAGTCTCTCTTCATAGACAAGAAAAGTCTTCGTCTCCAACCGGGTTGACCAAATGGTCTCGGTGACTGAGACTGAGGGGCTGTCTTTAAATGAACCAGAGGACGTGGACGATGACTGCAGTCGGCCTCTGCTGCAGAGAAGGTCACCCCTCGCAGCGCTCGGCCCTGTCACTCTGTTTCTACATGACTGTTTCCACGGGAGGCCGGCCTGAAGCTGGGAGGCAGGGAGGGCGACATTGTCTGTCATGAGATGAACTAGAGGCAAGAGCAGGAAGAGGTTAGAGATGAGATGAAGAGGATGACGAGGATGATGAGGATGATGAGGGCAATGAGAATGAGGAGGATGATGAGGATAGTGATGAGGGTGAGGGTGAGGGTGATGGTGATGGTGATGGTGATGATGAGGATGATGATGATGATGAGGATGAGGAGGATGATGAGGGTGAGGGTGAGGGTGAGGGTGAGGATGATGATGATGATGATGATGATGATGATGATGATGATGATGATGATGATGATGATGATGATGATGATGATGATGATGATGATGATGATGATGATGATGATGATGATGATGATGATGATGATGATGATGATGATGATGATGATGATGATGATGATGATGATGATGAGGATGATGATGATGATGAGGATGGTAATGATGATAATAATGATGAGGATGCTGCTGCTGCTGCTGATGATGAACAGACTGAAGGCTCAGTCTTATTTCTAAGGCAGACCTGAATTGAAGTTGTGTTTATCAGCGTAAACCGATCATTCCAGCCATGTATTAATAGGACAGAGGTTCCCAAAGTGCGGGGTGGGGTCCCACAGGACAAGACTATTTAATTATACCTTGAGTCGGAAAGAGTTTTTTGAGCTACTCTGACACCATGACCTCCTGTAGAATGTATTTGTGGCAAGATAAGAAAAGAAAGAATCGGTCAGTCCATGAAGTAATTTCAGGTTTTTTTAGCTCTGAAAGAAAAAAGTGTTGCCATTCTGTAAACTGCTTACACGTTCAGACACACAGGAGATGCATTGTGGGTTGTATGTTGCTAGGCTACAGTCAGTGTTCCATTCCTGATCTACGGTACTGTAGGAAAGTCTGACTATAGATGTCAAACATGATTCTTTCAGTTTGTCAAATGACCACAGACTAGACTGGGCCACTCAGAGGTCATGTGTGGGCCACTCAGAGGTCATGTCTGGGCCACTCAGAGGTCATGTCTGGGCCACTCAGAGGTCATGTCTGGGCCACTCAGAGGTCATGTCTGGGCCACTCAGAGGTCATGTCTGGGCCACTCAGAGGTCATGTCTGGGCCACTCAGAGGTCATGTCTGGGCCACTCAGAGGTCATGTCTGGGCCACTCAGAGGTCATGTCTGGGCCACTCAGAGGTCATGTCTGGGCCACTCAGAGGTCATGTCTGGGCCACTCAGAGGTCATGTCTGGGCCACTCAGAGGTCATGTCTGGGCCACTCAGAGGTCATGTCTGGGCCACTCAGAGGTCATGTCTGGGCCACTCAGAGGTCATGTCTGGGCCACCTGTGTCCTGAAAGCCACTGTATGATAGTCCAGCTCTCGGAGGTACTTAGATGTGTATGTTTTTTTATGCTCCATGGGAAAAGGTTTTGTATAATTTATGGTTTTCAAACAAGGTTTAGTTTCAATCAGATGTGCATGGACTGATTTTTTTTTTTTTTTTTGGACCAAAAACCCAACTTTGTGAAATTAACCTTATTTTGAAATGACTAGTTTGATGCCTAAAAAAATGTATTCCCTCTGTGTTTAGACATAAACAGAAACACGAGTTTAAAAAGAGAAAGTGAATTCTAATGAAAAGATAATAAAAGAATCCAGAACCATTTAAACTTCAGAAGAAGGTTCTTGACAGCGACGCCGATCGTTAGATTATTCCTTTACTGATGTTCCGTAGCCGGTGGAGGTCATGCGATCAAGTATGAACATCATCTTAGCAGCTAGAGGAGCAGGAGTAAAAGGGAGGCGTCTTCTCCGCTTCCCTCGACGCTTCATTAGTCTCTGTGAAACCCTGGACAAAGAGGTCCTCCCTCCTCCTTCTCCTCGTCCTCGTCCTCGTCTTCTTCTCCTCCTCCTCTATCCCCCCCCTCATCAACTCTCCCTCTTTTCCTCAGGATGACACAGAGCCCTACTTCATTGGAATATTCTGTTTTGAGGCCGCCATTAAGATCATCGCCCTGGGCTTTGCCTTCCACAAAGGCTCCTACCTCCGCAACGGCTGGAACGTAATGGACTTTGTGGTCGTCCTCACCGGGTGAGTGCTCGCCGCCCGCCAGGCGTCAGCTGGCCCTAATGTGAGAGAATGCGTTCTTTTGTGTGCATCTGCGATTGCCCCAGAGAGAGAGAGCGAGAGAGAGAGAGAGAAAGAGAGTGCGAGAGAGAGAGAGAGAGATCGTCTACTGTGAGCATCTGTTGTTTTTAGACGAAAAAAAAAACTCTCCAACTTTTGTCTCAACTTTGTCGTCTCTGAAGGTTTTGCATTTCTTTAGTGTTTTCTTGTGACGAGCAGAAACTTTGATATGTTTTAGAATCAAAAATAATCCACCAGGTCACAGATATTTGGATTATGGGATTATGGCAATCAATGACTCAGATCAGGATGTCAAAACTAAGAGTTTTGCTGAGGAATTACGTACAATGGTTAAGACGATGTTAAACATCGGATTTTTGTTACGAGGCCTTTAATAACGATTGGCAGAGGTGGGACCAAGTCCTTGCTTTGCAAGTCACGAGCAAGTCTCAAGTCTTGGCACTCAAGTCCGAATCAAGTCTCAAGTCAAAACAGGCAAAGTCCGAGTCGAATCCAAGTCCAAGACTGAAAAGTGTCAAGTCAAGTCCCAAGTCCTGCCGTTTCTGTTTCGAGTCCTTTCGAGTCCTTCCACTCACTGCCACTCGTTTTTTTGTTGACCATCTCGTAGTTCTTAAATCCGAACAACACGATCTTTGGTATCATTTTCTCCAAACCGCGCATTGTTCGACAGCTCTTTCTCATTGGTTGTCCCGCAATTTGATTGGCTCGATATTATCGCGTCAAAACAACGTACACAATGAGAGATACACAGCAGTAACTTACTTTCTAATCTTTGGGTTTGGGAGAAAGTCTCAAGTCTTGTCGAGTCAAAGGGCTCGAGTCCAAGTGAAGTCACGAGTCATTGATGTT